TCCTTCGAGACCCCCACCAAATTGCGCCCTCAGTTGGAGAATACCCCCCTCGAAGCCCGAAGGGAACGGCCTATCTCCCCATCCAGGGGGGTAGATCGGCCAGCGGGGCCCAGGCCACGCCGCTGGGGATGGGGATCGTTTAAACGATACTCAGCCCCTCTGCACCCTGAGATCCGACGCTGCGATAACATGCAACATCGTGAAAAATCACGACCAGAGCCGTACCTTGGGTTTCTTGATATGCGTGTGGGGGTACCCCCCGACGGGGGTCAACCTCGCCTCGTCGTCGCGACGCGACGGGGGTCGGAGCGCCTTCGGCGCGCTGCGGCTGCCCGCGGCGGGGGTCGATGTGGGGCTGTCGGCGGGGGTGACGCCCCCCCGACGCTTATGAAGAAGCTCGGAGTACCCACGCCATCCGCACGCCCCGCCGCCGGGGACCGACAGCACGCTCCCGGCCCCCCCCCGCCAGAGACGCCAGGCCAGCAGCAGCAGCAGCGCGGCAGGGGGCGAGGAAGGCAGCAGCGGGCACGCGGCAGCCAGGGCAGAGGGGAGGGGCAGGCGGCCAGCGCAAGGGAGGGGGGGGGGGGCGGAGACGGCAGCGCGGCAGGGGGCAAGGGGGGAGAAGGCCGCGGCAGACCGAGGAGGGGGAGCAGGCATAGCGGTCGGGAGGGGAAGCAACCCGAGAGACCGCCGGGGCGGGAGTGCATGAGGTGACGCCGCCAGCAGGCGGCACGCCCCCAGGTGGGGCAGGAGGCAGACCCCCCGGCACCGCGCACCGCACCGGGGAGGCCCGGCGGCAGGCACCGCAGCAGCGTGGCCAGCAGGCAGCAGCGCGGCAGGCAGCAGAGCAGCGCAGGAGCAGCGCAGCACGGGGGGGGGGGCAGCAGGAGGCGGCGCACACACTCTGGGGAAGCGCGCAGCAGGGCAGAGGCCCGCCAGGGGGGCACGACAGGGCCACGGGCCCGCGCGGCCACGGCCTCGCAGTCCTGGCCTCAGTGCACCGGCCTCGTGAGCACACCGTCCGCCGTGGGAGCTCCCCGTGGCGCCCAACGGGACGCAGCAGCGCCCCCACCAGGCAGCTCCTGGCGCCAGGCGCGCGTGCTTGCGTAGGTCCCCAGCGAGTGGGCCAGCATGGCCTTGCACTTCCCGTACGGGGGCGGGGCCCAGGCCGCTGCGACCCCACTCCACTGCGCGGAAGAAAGCCAGTCACCCTCGCAATCATCCAAGCGCGGAGCGATTTCCAAATGCGCCGGATCCACGGCGCCGTTCGAGACATTGGGAACGACGACCGCGCTCGGACCAGGACGGCGTGCGGCGCGCAGGCCTTCGCCGGCAGGGCTGCAGGCCGCTCGCGAAGATACTTCTCTTCTGCTCGCCGGACTGCAGGTACGACCACAGAGCGCTTCCACTGCGCCGCAACATCCGCGCCTCCTCCGCCCCCTCTTCATTCTCTGACCTGAAGCCTCCTGTCCTGCAGGCTCAAGCCATTCCGCCGGCCCCCAGAAGGAGGTGATTACCGGCTGCGTCGTGAGCTTGCTCGTGTGGCCCCGAGCAGGGCGGAGCGGAGGATTGACGAGGAGATTGATGAACAGGAGGAGCAGGCAGACCAGACGAGGTGGACGCTTTGTTTTACGTGCTGGTCTTGTCAATGCAGGGACGATGCGTGTCTCCAGACAACCTGCGCATTCCAAGAACGAGGAGGTCGGGAGCGAGGAAGCGCGAGGGGAGGGGGCAGAGGGCGTGCACGACGAGGGCGAGGAGCGGTGGAGGAGGATGGGGGAAAGACGATCTGATGATGTAATTAGGGGTAGGGGTAGGGGGAGGGGGAGGAGGAGGAGGAGGAGGAGAGGAGGAGGAGGAGGAGGAGGAGGAGGAGGAGGAGAGGAGGAGGAGGAGGAGGAGGAGGAGGAGGAGGAGGAGGAGGAGGGAGGAGGAGGAGGAGGAGGAGGAGGAGGAGGAGGAGGAGGAGGAGGAGGAGGAGGAGGAGGAGGAGGAGGAGGAGGAGGAGGAGGAGGAGGAGGAGGAGGAGGAGGAGGAGGAGGAGGAGGAGGAGGAGGAGGAGGAGGAGGAGGAGAGGAGGAGGAGGAGGAGGAGGAGGAGGAGGAGGAGGAGGAGGAGGAGGAGGAGGAGGAGGAGGAGGAGAGGAGGAGGAGGAGGAGGAGGAGGAGGAGGAGGAGGAGGAGGAGGAGGAGGAGGAGGAGGAGGAGGAGGAGGAGGAGGAGGAGGAGGAGGAGGAGGAGGGGAGGAGGAGGAGGAGGAGGAGGAGGAGGAGGAGGAGGAGGGAGGAGGAGGAGGAGGAGGAGGAGGAGGCGGAGGCGGAGGCGGAGGCGGAGGCGGAGGCGGAGGCGGAGGCGGAGGCGGCGGCGGACGAGGACGAGACGAGGACGAGGACGAGGACGAGGACGAGGACGAGGATGAGGATGAGGATGATGATGATGATGATGATGATGATGATGATGATGATGATGATGATGATGATGATGAT